GTGAGTTAATATTCTTTTTTTATTATTCCCAAAGGTTTATTAGGGAAATGTAAATCAACTTGTGGTGCAGAATGATTGTTAAATCAGTTATTAATTTTAAATACCTTATGTTCTGTTTTTCATCCCAATTGATGTTAAAATTTCCAAATATAAGTTTATTTTTCTGATTATACTTTTTCAAGATATCTTTTATCAGGACATAAAATCGTTTTTAGATTAAGGTTTACGATACAGACTAATTCAAGTTAATGGTATTTCATCACAGAGGGACATAATAATGGTGACACATTGTAAATTCACATTACTAGGCCATATGATAGGGCTGCATTTAAAAATATGTTCAGACCCAGATGGTTCCTGCTGGAATCAGGTTCCTCTGGTCCTCTACACACATGATGGGAATCAGCTTTCTGCTTTACAGGACGCTAACTGGACCTGAACCACTGGGAACTGACTGGTTGTGGTTTCTCTCTCAGACTGAGTCCAGAAAATGGAAGATCTGGATCAAAAGAAGCACAAAGCAGAAACTCCAGGATCCAGCTGGCCTTCTATGAGGAGTGACTGGACCAAAGATCACCCTCAATACTCCCAGCCAGAACCTGGACCTTCAGACATAAGGTAAGAAACCAGTTTGACTCCATGTGACTTCACAGAGATAGAACCTTTAGATTCTGAACTGGTTGATCTTCAGCATCTAAATCAAAAGTTCTTTAGTTTTTTTTTTTAGCTTTAAGCTACATAAACATGAATGATGTCAGTCAGTAAATCAGTAAAGTTTGAATGAAGGCCTGAGATTCAATGATGGAGGAAAACAGAACCAACCAAGAATCTGAGGAGCAACCAGGTTCAGAGATGCTCTCTAAAGCTTCTGGACTGGGAACACTAGACCCAGGGTATATACTGGATCCAGTTGATACAATAGGATAATGACCCAATTGGTTAATGGGGAAAAGCAGAACAACAGGACTTGGGTTGTCCCTCTAGTTCTAAGGTTCTGGTTCAGTGTCCGGTCCTGT